CATGTTATTCTCTCATCAAACCATATTCCTAGAAATTTAAATTGTTTCACAYGCTCAAGAACTTTTCCGTATATTAACCGTATATTTCCGTATATTATTAACCGCTGATGAGCCGGCTCATCATCTGTTGCAAGGTTGCGCTTCGTGGGCCCCTGAGAAGCAGGTGGCGGGCACCGAGTCGCCCGCGAGGGACGGGTTGGGCACTCCTGGTGTACAGGCTATCAAGGGACCACATTATTCATAGAGGGACCAAGTATTTGTTCAACATGCTTGCACACAAATCCCCAGTTTTTGTAATGTGTATACATTTAACCAGTCGCACATGTTCAGACACTTGTAAAAGCTTGAACAGCAAATTCTCCTTATCAATTTTACATACATTTTTACTGTACATAAATACAATACTCTCAAACACACAAGATGTGAGAAAATGCAGCCATCATTGTCAGTTAAAATACTTTTTCTGCAGGATCATTCAAACTGTAAAAGACTTCTGTAAACTTGCTTCATGCTGGACTTTCCTATTTGACTCGATACCGCCCCTACTGTTTGGTAGTGGAACTACAGCCACACCAGGTCAAAGGACAGATGAGTGACAGGACAGGGGCACTTGAGGGGGCCAATCAGATTTCAGATGGGGCCATATATCCCTGTGGCCCCGCCCCTAGAACCGCCCCTGGCAAGAAAAAAATAGGGGTTTGAAGCTAAATGTTTAGCTTGTTAATTAAATATTAAATTTGTAAGTTAAATATTTAGTTTGTAAACTATTACATTTATAAATATTTGTAAAACATGGTGAAAATCWGACTTTGTAAAATAAACTCCCTTTTTTATGAAAGGCTAAATAAAGCAAACATATTGGTGGTAATTTTTGACTGTGTAACTTTACAAACGACACCCCATAGCAGGGTATCAGAAAGTTAAATGTATAACTTTTTATGTATAAATTTAATTTAGGACAAGCTTCATGTTTTATTGGTAACAGAGCTTTTGTCAACAAAAATAWATAAACTGTAAATACAAATAAATTTAAAGACCTACAGTATAAATCAGAAGGTGACTCCTGTTTTGTTGTATTCATCAAATAAGCTAAATGTGACAACAGAACTAATGTAAAACTACAGTATGTTCTGACTTTTGGTTTTGGTGTCATGCCGTTTCTGATGCCCCTCTGTTCTGAGAGCTGCATGCCTGGGATGACCGTCACCTTTATGCTAATTGTTTTTCTGCTGACACCCTGCTGTCAGCTGCTTGTTGCTCCTCTCAGAGCCTCCTCTGGTCTCCTCAGTGGTATCTGGATCACCATGAAGCTTCTTCTGCTCAAACTCRCACTCTTTGTTTCCTTCAGCAGTTTTTCCTTCTCTTCCATCCCTGCTGACAGGCCAGGCTGCTTCAGAGTCAGCAGTTGTAAATGTGTCCTGAAGGATGGCAGCGGAGTGATCAGCCTGACCTCTGTGGGAGACTCTGATGGTCTCCTGCTGCGTTCCAGGCCCGTTCCAGCCGAGGACATGCTGGTCGATGCAGAGATGCTCCTCTCTTTCAGCCCCTGCCAGCCCTTTTCCCAGCCAGAGGAGCCAACAGGAGGCGACTGCAGCCACGTCGCTGCATGTCTCACTGTCAGGTAGAGATGACTCTCAGTGACTACCACAAGCTTCAGCTACATTCATGTCGCTTCAGCCATTTTTATGTTTGTTAATGTTAATTAGCTGTGGTGCTACTGGCCATCTGAATTTGCTTAACTCCAAAAGTTCAGTTGTAGACAGGGGCAGAGCCAGAGTCTGGATATGCTGCTGTGCCAGCAACATATTGATGAAGCTCATTCCATACGCAAAMTGTTCAATTATCAGCTGCATGACTCAAACAGATCATTCTCATGATGTAACTCTACATGGTAGTCACYGCCTGTGTTGGTAAATAAGAGGATGACCAAGAAACACAGATCCTCAGCAAACTGCCATGTAGCAAAAAATGTCAYTTCTCAATCCAGCCACCCCTTTAAAAATATCTGGCTCCATCACTAGTTGTAAAGTCACACTCAGTCTCAGTAAAATTTGACACTTATTTATGAGATGTTTTTCTAAAGGTACAGACAAACACACATACATTTGTTTTTCTATCCTTATGGGGACTTTGCATTGACTTTCATTCATTTACCACTAATTTCTACAGCCTAACCCTGACCCCTTACTCTAAACCTAACCTCACAGGTACATACCTGACTCTAAACCTAACCTCACAGGTACATACCTGATCCTAAACCTAACCTCACAGGTACATACCTGATCCTAAACCTAACCTCACAGGTACATACCTGACTCTAACTGTTCTGCCCTCATCAAAGTGTTCCCTTTCCTTAACTAGGCAGACAGATAACTTTCCACACATTGTAGTCAATGTAGGATGGCTTTATTGTCCACCGCTGATTAGCACTGACAGCATAAGAAAAGGTAAAAAGACAATGCTTCAATAAATGATTCCCCAATGAAGATGGATGAAGATAACTGACTGCTTATTTCCAAGATGTGTTCACAATGGATAGAAAGACAAAAATGGCAGCCTACAGGGTTTAGGTAAACATGTGGCTCATAAAAAAAACAAAACCAGTGCCTTCTAGTGGCTACAAAATGAACCAACAATCTCTGGCTTCCCAGGTCTGAACACTAATCCTAACCTGATATTTTGAGTGGTGCATGGACTTGTTATAATTAAATGTAGGACATAATAACTTTGTTTTCAAGGGGCAATATTATGTCTTTCTCAGGCAAACATTTAAATACTATACCATAATAAAGTTACAGTACTTAATATTAAAATGCTGTTTTATGTTTAAATAGAAAATAAACTTATCTTCTCATCACTTCCTCTCCTAAATGCCTTGAAATTGGCCTCTGTCTCTTTAAGAACCACCTTCCACTTCTGTCCCACCCATTTCAGTGCGCAGGAGGGGGGGGGGCACTATGATGTAGTTTACTTAGCATCAGAAAATACATTTCCTCAAAGGTATTTTGAATCTGAAAAGAGCTTCGCTGAGTGAGAAGTAGTTAGGAGCTCAGCAGACAGTTTAAGTTTCACTTTCAGTTTCACCCTGTTTACTTTGTTACTGCAGAGAGCCTGCAGGAGTCATGGGCGGTGTGTGTGTGTGTGGGGGGGGTGCACTCTGCCACGAGGAAGCTCTGCTTAAAGACACGTCCCAGAGGCGTTTCTGGTCCCCACCTGTTGTTTTGCTCCTCATCATGGCTGCATAAAAACGCTGCAGGATTTCTCAAATATGCATGAAGGAAGCAAAGCAAGGCTTTGGGCATGTTTTTTTATGAGAGTATAACATTATTTATTACATGATATAAAACTAAAAATATATATTTTACATGAAATTGCCCCTTTAATGAAATGTGCATCAACTTCTGCCAATCATATAGTGAATAATTTGTTCTGTAGGGTTCATATATTTGTAAATCTGATTCTGATGAACAGAGTGGCTCACCATCCCTGAAACTCACCACACGTCACTGGTCTGCAGACATTAGTTTCTGTGAGGCTCTGCACAGTCAAGTGCAGGTTCTGGACCCTGACTGGATTATTACAACACCTTGATTTATTGCCTTATTACAAATAGAAATAATGTTTTTATTATTGTCTGCATGTGCTCCTGAATCAGTTGTGTTAACAAAATATCAACACCGTTGAAGTGGTGGACAGGTTTTAATGAAAACTTTAGACTGAATAAACATTTGATTAAGTTTTTGAGTTATTCAAGATGACTGCTAAAGCTGAGCAACTTTAGCCAACAGGAAATAACAATAACTAATTTGTACTGATAGTTAYCTTGAATTTATTGTAGCTGAAAGYCATTCCCCACACATACTCTGAGGCTAACACGTGAGAAAATGTAATGTGTGAAATTACAGAACATGTTTTTTTCAAGGTTTGACCATTCATTCATTCATTCATTCATTCATTCATTCATTCATTCATTCATTCATTCATTCATTCATTCATTCATTCA